AACGCCCCATCTTCAGCTGGTAAACACAACAGCTCTCATTGATGTGTGTCGGGGGCCTGCTTAGATAACAGTGTCTTTATTAAATGTTTTCAGTACAAGCAGGAACCCAGTGTGTCTGTAGCTTTCTCTAAGCAGATATGTGTTGTGTTAAGTGACAGAAAACCAAAGACATCTTTTGGCCGTAGAGATATCTGAGACTTCTGTAGAAAAAATGGCTAAAACTGCTAAGTTAGCACTTTTAAACATCAGATGACTTGATTTTATGCTTTTAAATGAAACTTGGCTAGATGACAGTTGTAGCGGAGCAGTTCTGCATGAAACAGCTCCTTTAAACTTTGATTTTTTGAGTGTTTGCAGAGTTAATAGGAGAGGTTGAGGCATCGCAGCCCTGTTTAAAAAAGTGTCTATGAGTGTAAACAAGTGTCATTTGGTGACTAATTGTCGTTTGAATATCTGAGTACAGCACTTAAAGGTGCTCCACGCATCTCACTGATTATTACCTACAGACCTCCAAAATATTCTCCAGCTTTTATTGATGATTTTACAGAGCTATTATCAATAGTAACCTCTGAATTTGATTATTTTACTATTGCTGGGGATTTTAATATTCACACTGATTATCCAGAAATCAATGCTGTAAAAGACTGTTTTTAACACTTTTGATCTGTCTCAGCATGTTCAAGGCACACTCTTGATCTACTCATATCTAAAGGTTTACACATTTCATCGACTGTTGTTAAAGATGTTGCACTATCTGATCATTTCTGTGTTTTCTTTAATATATTGATCACTCCTGCTATTAAAGACAGATCTGTCTGTCAGAAAGAGATGCATTAATGAGAACACCAGTGAGCAGTTTATGAAGGCCATATCGCTAGCACTAAATATATCTGCAGACTCAGTTGATTCTCTCCTTGATTTGTTCAACTCTAAAATTAAAATTATCATAGATGACGTTGCTCCTGTTAAAGTCAATAAGATGACTGGCAGGCAAAAGGGATCTTGGACAAGGTCACCAAGAGTACAAATGAAGAAAAGACAATGCAGGAAAGCTGAGCGAATGTAGAGAAAGACGAAACTAGTAGTCCATTATAATATCTATAAAAACAGTCTTCATGCTTTTAATTTGGAACTAAACTCTGCTAGACAGACTTTCTTTTCAAGCCTTATAAACAGAAACTTAAATAATTCTTGCACACTCTTTGCAACGATAGAGAGACTCACAAATCCCCCCAGTCGGATTCTAACTGAACTACTTTCTGAAAGCAAATGTAATGAGTTTGCTCATTTCTTTACTGATATGATCAATAATATCAGAAAGGCAATCAGCTCATCCAATCAGCCAAGTTGTGTCGAAGTCAAACTAGCTCAACCACAACTTAAGAAATCAGATATTATGTCTGATTTCATGGCAATTAATGGTAAAATCTTAGAAGAGATTGTGCAAATTATGAAAACATCAACCTGCAGTCTTGACACGCTCCCCACATCATTCTTCAAAACGGTGTTTAACTGTTTAGAAAAGTATCTTCTAAAAGTGGTAAATGCTTCACTTCTCTAAGGGATTTTTCCAAACTCACTTAAAACTGCAGTTGTTAAACCTCTCTTGAAGAAGAGCAACCTGGATAACACCCTATTAAACATTTACAGACCAATCTCAAATCTCCCTTTCATTGGCAAAATCATTGAAAAAGTTGTTTTCAACCAGGTTAACAAGTTCTTAAGCTTCAAGGGGTGTTTAGACAACTTTCAGTCTGGTTTCAGAGCACATCACAGTACAGAGAGCGCATTTGGGAACAGAGATGAGGTTCTCAAGGTGAATGTGTACCTTGGCACTAAAGGTCAAACAACAAAAAATAAGGTCAAGAATATTGGTGTGACTCTGGAGTCAGATCTGAGTTTCAATAGTCATGTCAAAGCAGTTAGTAAATCAGCATACTATCATCTCAAAAACATTGCAAGAATCAGATGCTTTGTTTCCAGTGAAGACTTCCAGTGAAGAGTAACTTGTTCATGCTTTTATCAGCAGCAGGGTGGATTACTGTAACGGCCTCCTCACTGGTCTTCTTAAAAAGACAGTCAGACAGTTACAGCTAATCTGGAACACTGCAGCCAGGATTCTGACCAGAACCAGAAAATCAGAGCACATCACACCTGTCCTCAGGTCTTTACACTGGCTCCCAGTTACATTCAGAAAAGACTTTAAAGCAGGGGTCTCAAACTCGCGGCCCGCGGGCCATTTGCGGCCCTCAGTGCAATATTTTGTGGCCCGCGCCGACCGCTGTACACTGACAGAATCAGCGGAGCGGGGAGAGCGAGCGCTCGCCGCTCCGCTGATTCTATCCGTACACAGCGGTCACTGGCATTCCCCGCCCGCCGTGTAAACAAAGGGGTGGGGATGCCGGTGACGTCACCACGCACCCCGCCCCTTTGATAGACGCTATGACGGGCGGGAAGAACCAAGGTAAGCTGTTCCTGCCCCTGTAGGCCACTAAGCTACAGCATGCATCTTATATATTATGGGTAGATACAGACTGGTACAGACTGATGTGACTGGAGTGGGGTGGGGGTGTTTTATTTATTCATATATACGCCTTTTTTTAGGTGAGGGAATGGAAGTTTTGAGTGAGTTCCCCCACTTTTTTCCCTAGGACTTGGCCTTTTTGGGAGCACATATTTGTGTGAGAAGTTATTCTCCACCTTGAACTTCAATAAGTCAAAGTACAGGTCTAGACTTAATGATGATCATCTTCAAGCCATACTGAGGGTCTCAACTGCTCCCGCTCTAAAGCCAAATGTGGTTCAGATTTGTGAGAAGAAGCGCTGTCAAGTCTCTGGCAGTAAGGAGTAGGCAAAAGATGCCATGTTCAGAAGAACTGTTCATAATCTTCACTCAATGTTCTATTAATGTTCAGGACACTTCATGTTCAGAAGAAATAATTAAAACTGTTAATAATGACATTTGAGGACTTTTTTTTGTGAAATCCCTTATGCGGCCCAGCCTCACCCAGACTTTGCCTTCTGCAGCCCCCAGGTAAATTGAGTTTGAGACCCCTGCTTTAAAGTATTACTACTTGTCTATAAATCACTAAATGGCCTAGGACCTCAATACATTACAGATATGCTCACTAAACACAAACCTAACAGATCACTCAGATCTTTAGGATCATATAAACTAGAAATTTCAAGAGTTCAGTCAAAGCAGAGGGAATCAGCTTTCAGCCACTATGCCCCTCGCTGCTGGAATCAGCTTCCAGGAATGATCAGATGTGCTTCAACATTAGGCATGTTCAAATCAAGACTGAAAACACATCTGTTTAACTGTGCCTTTACTGATTGAGCACTGTGCTACATCCGACAGATAGCACTATTATGTTTTTCTCTTCTTTTTCATTCTTTTGTATTACATTTTACCTGTTTTTATGTTTTTTTTAAATAATTTTTATTATTTGTTTTTATTTTTCTTATACCTTTTTCTTTTATTCTTTTTTATGTAAAGCACTTTGAATTGCTACTGTGTATGAAATGTGCTATATAAATAAACTTGCCCTGCCTAAGGCGTTTGCGCCCTGCGCTTTGCACTTTGCGCATGGATTGTCAAGATAGAGCCCTAAATGTTCTAATCACACTGGTGTGATTGTATACATCAAAGGGTTAAAATACTTGCTCTTTGAAACTCTCACAACAGCTTTGTTGTACAAAACGCATAAATGGATTTCAATTTATTGCATAGTTAAATTAATACAGCACACAGGGGATGTACAAAATTATGTAAACTAGACACTAATCAGTAACTATGGTAGCCTACTATTGTTTTTTCATACATATAAAGTACTCGAACAGGCCTATTTTTAAAATAGCGTAATTTTATTCTTTTCACACATACATTTTACATTCACCCTCACCCCCTGCTCTAATCACACTGGTGTGATCATATATATATATCAAAGGGTTCAAATATTTGCACTTTGAAACTTCCACATCGGCTCTGTTGTACAAAAGCATAAATAGTTGTATTTTTTTTAAAATGTTGCCATGTAAATGCCCCTAAAGACATTATTAAATCTATAAAGCCAAATCCATACTTAGCTTTTGACGCTTAAGTTATAGTCCATGCACAATTTTCAATTTAATTATTTTTGAATAATACATTTTAGTATGATTTGCTCATGCCCCACTGAGGAGTAGGGGACATGCCTCCTTTTAAATATCATACATTTTCATAATGCTGAATTTAAATGAATTTGTACAAATTAGCCACTTTTCTGACAATAAAATAGTTACACTGTAAAAAATGTGGGGTTCCACACAATTAATTCATGTTGGGATATCATGAAGGAATAAAGTTAACTTAATTCCTTCAGCTTTTTATGAGTTTTTACAAATCAAAGTGGATTGAACACAAAGCGATTAAGTTGTCCCCCCCCCAAAAAAAAAAAAACTCAAGATTTGTGTTGTTTCAGCTCATTTTAAATAAAGTGGTTAGTGTAAATTTCCTTGTAAGATTGAGCTGACTAAACCCTAAAAATTTATCATTTGTCTTTCATAACTAGACTTTTAAACAGCACATTTTGAAAAACCCATAAGCTGACATATATTTGTTCCAGTAAATTCTGGCAAATATAAAACTAATCTTTCATCTCTCAGAAGGTTTGAACAACACCACAATGTATTTTACATGATTCCATTAACACACCCTTTAAACTCTGATATGCACTGTCTGGGCGAGATCAGACAGAGCCTTTAATTCAGGCCATATTAATGCTGAAAGCCTGGTTAGGAGATACGGATGAGTTTAATCTGTCCTGCTAAGCCCTGCATGCTTAGACAAAGATGATCCCTAAACCTGAGCTGGCACGAGCGAAGGATGCCATTGGTGCTTCAGTTTAAAATGTGCATCTTTAAAAAATCTGTCTGTTCGTTTAAAGTGGAATCCCTGATATAATCACTAGACACTGATAATAAACACAATGTAAGGACATTTAGAATGCAAAACTCACCAGCATATGACCACTCTACATTCTCTGAGAGTTTCTTCTGTGATCTATATCCATAGGCTTCTGATAAACCTGTGCAAAAAGAAAAAAGAAAAAAAAGTCAGGTCTTTCCATTAAAACAGGCAAATGAGAATGTTTGCTTAATATAAATGTTTAAAACTCAAGAGAAATAGTTAAACGTTCGCTTTTTATTTTCCAAATATTTTCTCAATAACAAAAACTAGCATCAATAAAATAAAATAAAAAATGTTTTTTAAAAAGAAAATGTAGCTAAAGTCAAGTAGTGCTTTTGGTTATAAACATTGTTTCAAAGCGTGTTTTCTTTGCAGAAATCATGATGCTATTTGTTTCAATATCTTTATGTCGAATCATCACATTAAATGAATGTAGTTCACATTTCATGACTCTTGAAGGTTTTTATATTTATAATAATATTCTGGTAAAATGTTAAACAATATAATTTTTTTATGTAAGGGGTCAAATAAATACAGATGGTTGTTATCACAGAATAAAGCCTGACAGTGGTTTAGGGCCCAACATAATGCTGTGTTCATCCCAGACGCAGAACATGCAAATAAAATTGCGATATTCGCATTTTTTTTAAATAGACACGTGAACATTGAGTTTACTCGTGTCAACTTCGCTTCCCGGTGATTCTAGCTTTGTTGCTAAATGGCTGACATGGATTTTAATGAGAGAATAACTGTTTTTATGTGCTTTTGGAAGGCTGAAAAACAGCGTATATTCGTTTAACACCATGTCCACGAGATCCTTTCTGAGGTGCTCTCAGCTCAATGAGTTTATCAACTCCTCCAGAAACTATACCTGGATGATGGAGATTTTTAGCAGTGCTTCAGAATGAGCCATGCCCAGATTGATGAACTTTTGTCTAGTGTCAGCAGGAGGATTTCCCCTTGAGACAACAACAACAGGCACTACATCATAATTACGCCTCTACAAGAGAAAGCTCCTGATTGGTTAAAATGGCATGAATGTCCACTGAAGTTCAGATTTTCCAACTCGAGCGATTCGCGTGAATCGCATCATTCGTGCTGCCTCATTTGCGCGAATCACGCCACAGGATGTCTATTTGCGTGTTTGCATTGACTTAACATATAACTCACTCGCATTTGATGCTTCATCCATGTCTGGATAACTCTGCGCAAACAAACGCCTGAATGTACTTTGTGAAGTTTATTTATAAACAAATTTCGAGAGGATCACGTGCTTATGATTGTTCACAGCTGTTCCAACTTTAGCTCATGACTAATTATCCTATCAGACGATCCTTAACTCACTATAAATCACCAGACTTTTCTCATCTCAAAATCTTCATCTTAAAAAAAAAAAATCCAACCCAACCCTACTTTCCCTCCTTTCAAACAGGCGACACGTTGGCCAGTGTTTAGCACTGATGCCTCACAGCAAGAATGCCCCTGGTTTAATCCCCTTCCAAACCAGGCGACATTTCTGTGTGGAGTTTTGCTCGTTCTCCCTGTGCTCACGTGGGTTTTCCCCGGGTCCTCCGGTTTCCTCCCACAGTTCAAAAACAAGCACCCTAAACAATGAATCCAAAATATTTTAGCCAAGCTCGGAGTACACCTTCTCAGCATCCATATTTTACACTTAGCTACAATAAGCAGAAGGTGGAGTCATCAAAATCAACCTGAGCTCAAACTCCCCTCTCGCCCTTCAACGGGAGGGAGCCCAGGGCTTGAGGATCTTATAAGCTCAGGGCTCTCTCCCGGGACAGTATGCCAAACAAGCTTTATTATCAATCATCAGCTAAGTGTGTACTCTTGAAATTCCACTTTATCACAAGTCTACTTGCCACAAAACATAATTAGACAGAAAAAAACTAAACTGCTCAATGGAGCATACACTAACCTATGTATTATTCAGTCATAAGATGGCACCAAACATTCAAAAACAGTAGTGTAACAGACAGACAGATGAATAAGATTTTGATTGGTCAGTACCAGCATAAAATTTGTGTTATGTAAGCCATAAGGTACATCCAGTTGGTGGTTATCATTGATTATAACCTGACAGAGTGAATTGTATTTTAAATAAACCAGGAAGTGTGTTATTTTTGCGATAACAAGAAAAACATAAGTAACACAAAGTAATTGTCCACAAATTATTGATTTGAGTGTAAAAATATACTTATTTTACTGAAAGTAACGTTTTCACATTGCTAAACAGTGGCAAGTTTTAACTAGACAAAGGTAAGATATAGTACAGTCATACGATTATAACACACATTTTTTACCACAAGAGAGGAAGTATTAATGGAAGATCAACCATTTTACTTTCTTATACCCATTACAAAATGTGCAAAACAATCAGTCTTGAAAGATACTATCAAGTTACACTGCTATTAATATTGATGTCAGATTAATTTTCTATAACTACATGGATAACTATAAGATATGGTACAGATACCTGCAATCACCTGAATAAGCCTATTGTTTCTCCACTGGTTGTTATTGTGGATTTATAAACCACTAAATGATGCCACTGACCAATGAGATTCAAGTTTAATGATAACATTAATTAATAACATAATTAATAACAGTATAAAGGTAAGAAAACTGGGTTGTTTGGGTAACAGAAATCCGTGTTTTTCGCTTGCTGGTTATTTTGCAGAAGCTTTGGGTTTGAAAACTTAAATCAATAATTTGTGTTCAATATTTTAACTATGTCAGCCTGGTATCACAGACACATTCTTTTTCGTTTAGACATATTTAAGTATGCTGTGTTTATCTTTGTGGTGTCTGTTTTGTACACTTTAACGAGTAATAAGATAACAGAAAAGATTTTAAACTTTTTCATCCCAAATTAACATCTCTGGTTCTTTTTATGATTGAAAAGCTGTTTAAAAGGTGCTACAGCTATACTGCATCCCTAACATTTTTTTACACTCAATATTTCATGTCCAACTAGTTACATACTGTATGTGGGGCATTGTTGTGTAATAATCAAGATAATGTCCAGATAATCAGGGCCAGCTGGGTGTTAGTTCTCCAATAAAATCCAGCAGGGTGTACGTTATTTGTTACATAACACTTTGAAATGAGGGACTGATCAATTAAAATTAACCAATGATCTCTGTGAACTTAAATATAACTCTATCTAAGTAAATCAGCTAAAATTAAAAATGCTTACTATTTTACTTATAATTTTCATTATCTAATTAACTAAAGTAGATCTATATGTTAACTGATATAATTAACTATTTCAAGCCAAGATAAGAGTGATACATACAGGCTTTTTAAGTTCAAACTCCTCTTTAAAGGCATAGTTCACCCAAAGATGCAAGTTTGCTCTCAATTTACTAACTCTCAAGTGGTTCCAAACCTTAATGAGCTTCAATTTTTATTATTTTTTTAATTACAAAAGAAAATGTTTTAAAGAATACTGTAAACTGGTAGCAATCAGGGGTCTGTTTTTCGTACATAGATTACTCAGCTGGATTTGGTTATTGATGATTTGACATGATCCAGGATCGTTTCTTCTTCAAAACTCATCTGAGAGTTGTTGTCATAGTAACAGTTCTGGTAGTTCTTGGTCTGCTCGGGAGCAGGCTTATTTCATATAAACAGGATTAGATCAGCTTATTTCAAGCAAAGGTCATGCAGAAAGTATGTACCGAATGCTGATAATTTCTTACAGTAGCAACCTATAGATTATATGCACTTGGGAAAATAAGAAAAAAGTTTTAAAAAGTGTGTGTGTATATATATATATATATATATATATATATATATATATATATATATATATATATATATATATATATATATAATAATTATAATAATAATAATTATTATTATATTAAAATTGATTTTATTTAATATTATATGGTTAATAATATTTATGTTTATATACATATACCTTTAAAAAATATATCTAAATAAAACTTATGCAATCTGCACTCTGAAATAAAAGTACAAAAACGTGGTGGTTCTCCCGAAGGGGATCAAAGACATTTATTAAAATGAATTTTTAAATACAACCTATACTATTTTAAGGTACTGATCCAGCTTTAGTACAATTTCTGTATGATAATAGACATGCACATTATTTGACTATTTGTTTGTTTGTTTGTTTTCACAAAGTAATAATTTATGCAGTCGTGCACATTTTTTGACAGCTAATATGACTGATCTGATGCTTTGCAAAAGTTGCAATTATTTAAATTCCTTACGACAATTAAGAAATAAAAACAGGCCTAGGCTACTATAGTAAAGAAAATCCGATCTAGAATGTCAAACTAAATAAATTGATAAATTCTCTTGACATATGAAAGTGTAAACCCTGCTGCCTACAGCAAAGGTGGAAAGTTATTGTGTATCATAATAAACAAACCGTTTACTATGAATTTTATATAATTTTGGTCACATGGATAATTGAACATTTTTATTTACATTTAGTCATTTAGCAGACGCTTTTATCCAAAGCGACTTACAAATGAAAATTTTACTTACAACATACACATAAAAATTCCCCCAAAAAATTTAATTCAATAGTCAACGGCTACCACTACCCACACTTTGAAAACCAAAACATACATTCATTCATTTATTTTCTTTCAGCTTGGTCCCTTCATAAGGGGTCGCCATGGTGGAATGAACCACCAATTATGGCATTACGCTGCTGTGCCGTCAGACAATCATTGCATTGCTGATCATGATTCAAGGATCAATAGATCTTTCCTTAACAACACATGCAGAGATCTCGGATCAGTTCATCCAGACATTGTAATCTGATTCGCGAACTTGTTTAAAGAACCAAATTAGCCAGAGATCAGTTATCAAGATTTAAAGATATCATCTAAGATGATACCAAATCATCTTGGATCCCAGAAGTCATTAGCTATTGGTTTCTAGTATCATTCAAAGGATCTTCTTTTGTTTTCAACAAAAACAAGGAAAGAGTTTGGAACAATTGTGGGAGAGAAAATCTGAGAGTTTTGATTTTTGTGTGAACTATCCCTTAAAAAATAAATGTCAAAACTTATGAATTAGATTTTAAAACGTTGCATGTTCACATTCAAATCTGAATCACAT